CGTTTAAGAAGATTAGGAATATGGTGTTGTAATTGAATGTCCCAAATATGTTTGATGTTATAAATTTGTGGATGTAAAAGGGTACTAGAGGGTAATGCTTGTGTATTGTATCTTCTTACTTTGTAATTATCTTATAGTTTAGTTATTACAAGTATAATATACCTATTTAGATAGCACCAATATAATACAAGTTTTATATTAATTGTATTAATCATTGCAAATTAAGTGATAAGTTTTAGATTTGTATATTTAGCTAAATATCTAAAGAGATTATAGAATATAATATATAGGTTATCTTAAATAAAAAATACTAAAAATAATAGTATTATAGTTTTGTATTATATAGACTTAAAGATAATCATTAAATTCTGTAATTTATATATATTTATTTTTTTTTTTTTTTACTATAGACAGTCATGCTAATACTTTATTAAGATTCTTGCAATTGCTACAATTACATAAATCTATCTAACAACTAAGTCTAGCATCACCCAGCCACCCTAATAGCATCTAAGTGCAACCTGTTGTATTACTTTAAGCAGAAGTAAACCACTCATCTAACTACTTAAAGTCCATAATGAAAGGATCTTTCTCTTTTCACAACAAGCTCCAAAATTATCTTTTTAGCTTCATCTTCAATTTGTTTTTTTCTCTTCTTTAATTATCAAGCAAGAGAATTCTATAATTCTTACCTAAAGAACAACAGAATATAAGAAAGAAAAACTAAAAGAAAGTAAAAAAAAGGTGAGACTAACTACAAAATCTAAATATAAACCAAAAGAAAAAAGAAAAAGATAAAAAAGAAGAATAAAAAAAAAACAAAAAAACATGAAGGCACTATTTTTGCCTGTGCCAGGCTTTAAAAATTCTGTATAATACTAAATAAAGAATACCTCACATTTGCTTTATCTTCATATTATAATATATTCCATTTATTATATAGGAAGAATGGTCAATGTTTTTATTTTCCTCTTAAGTTTGACATATGTCATCCATCGTAAGTCCAATACTCGTCTTATAGTTTTCTCGTAACTAATGTTACCAATTTGAAAGGTAAACAATGTCAATTCTTTGGAGAAGGTATGCCAGATTTCCCACTTTTTGGTAAAAATTCTAAAAAAAAAATCCAGTAGTGAGGGCAGAAAGAAGAGCCAACTTGAAAAGAAGTTGTAAGAGTTATGCTATATAGAATATTATATTAAATCAAGTAACTATTTAGGTCTAAGCCCTTATAGCACTTGACAAAGCTCTAGAGCTTATCTACTACTTCTTTGCTTGGTAGTACTTCTGTTTTACCAAGAGACTTCACTTACAAGGGTTTGAATCTTTTTCAGCTTTTTTCAGTTACAACCAAACATGCAGTAAATAGTCTCCCTAGTTATCCAAAGTAGAGTTTTGTTATATTTAAATATAATAACTATATAGTTTTCATAGATTAGACTTTTGGAAAAAAGTTGGTATGAAGAATTGTTAGAAAGAGTTGAACTTATTAACTGAATATATTCATTTAGTAATTATTTAAAATATTTTAAAATATTTAATAATTACTAACCAATACATTGTTCTATTCTTGCTCTATAGAATAATTTGAATTTAAGATTTTGATACTTATAACAAGAATATTAGTTACAAGATAAAGCTTATAAAGTTTTCTAATATAAGATATATGCTATTTCAGCAAGTTTCTATATTAGTTTTAGCTATTAAGGGTAGAGTACAATATTTGAAATTTAATATGAGATCGGTTGCAAATTTTTTATATTACACATATAGAAATAGAATGGGCATATTTAAATCTAGATCCTTCTACATGCATGAATCAGATGAAACGTTTAATATTCATGTATTTTCACATGATAATTGGCCAATCAAATCATAAGGTTTAAAAGAAATAAAAAAAATACAAAACGAAACAAAATTAATGCTATGTATAAATGAATTTAATTACATATTTTGTCACCAAGTAAGCAAATGTATCTTTATTTTGTTTATTAATTAAATAATAAACAAACTTCGAATCATTACGATATATAAAAAAAACAATAATCAACGTCTAATTCTATATCAAATATAATCCAAAACCCGATGTATATGAACATATTATATAGATTCTATAGTCTTTAATATTCAACATTATATGATCTCTAATATGACACTTATGCTATTGTAATAGTTTTATACGTATGCGTTCTTATTTCTATTTTAAAAAATGTACAAAAAAAAAGTATATAATTAGTTCTTATTTTATTAATTATACGAACATAGATTTGCTTTAAACTTTTAAAAGATTTATTTATAATGTTTTAAATAAAAGATTGTGCAAACCAACGGTTTAACACACATTACCCTTGTTGAATTGTTGCTTTCAACTTTTTGATTTTTATCACCTGAATGTTCAAAATTTGTAGTTTGGTATTTCGTAATTACTTCTATATATACTTTTGTAAAGAAACTTGTTCTATAAAGGTTGTAGTATTCAGAAGGGTCAACAATATGGTTAAAATACAACATGAAAACTTCAAGTTCACTTAGTAAACTTCATAGACAAAGGCTTACACAAGTCTCATGAAAAAGTACTTAGATTACGATTATCATGAATTGTGTTACGTGTTTCTATTTTTAGGTACATTTTCACTTGTTAATAATAATTACACATAAGTATCATATTGTTGGTAAAATTTTTCGATGCAAAGAGCGCATATTTTCATGTTTGCCTAGCCTTTATAACCTTTCAAGTACGTAGTATTTTGAATTTATTATTATTGTTGATTTATAGTAATTTTTAACCAATTTTCTTAATTTTCTTGTAAAATGCAAAATCAAATTAACAATTTCTTGGAAACTGCCAGAGAATGTAGGATAAATGCTACATCAGTTATTTATCTTGGGCTAAAAGAAAACCAATGGATTCCAAAAGACGAATTAAGAACAATTATAGATAAAGCTGTAATTTTTGGCCAAAGTAAATATGCGAAAGGCACATCTCATTACTTAAGAATTTCAAAAATTCCTTCACAGGTTAGTTAAAGCTTAATACGGATATTTCAAAATTTTTATATGATGATATTGTGTGATCTGTTTTTAGAGCAGTGCTGAATAAACAAGCTATATTATTTTAGTTTGTTGTTTATATTTTTTCACCCATCACATCAGCCCCCAATAATACTTGCATATAATATGAGAGTGTATATACTATGAACTGTTATGCGGTATCGTAGTTCACTCTACTAACCTATTATATGAAAAGGTTATTGCACGGTCAGGGTGAGTTAAGGTATAAATTATTATGTTGTAAATTAGTATCACACAAGGTTTCATCAGCGTGATGGCCACACAAAGATGTTAACTTTGCATATGCACTGATAATATATGTTAGTTTTAATGATGAAAATTTTTATATTTTGAAATCTAACATATAACAATTTTTTTTTTTTTTTTAGTTTGATAGTGCTTTCGAAGGTGTATGTTCCTTATTTGATATGGGGGCAATTAAAACAGATAAAGAACAACCGTTTGGTTCAAAACAGATTCAAAACAATATTGAGAAGTTGAAAAGGAAACTCGGAAAAAATACCACTAGTCTTTATCAACATTTACTCTTGAAGGTAAATGAAACTCCTGTTCAAGAATTAACTTGGAAAGATTCTTTGGCTAGTCAAATTTTTAGAGATAATGCCCCAATTATAGACGATTTATGTAAAAACCAAAAAACAAAAGGCCTACACAAAGCATTTATGGTATATATTTATTATTAAGCAAAATAATCCCTATAAATTATTTTTAATATTTCTCGCTATGGTCTTTATTTTAGAAACCAGTCAGAGAAATAAAGTCTACACTTCTGTTAAGTGTTAAAAATAGGTGTAAAGAATTTGTATCAAGCTTTTCTGACCATAATTATAGCAGATTTTCAAGCAAGTTTATTCATAATAAGACATGGAAAGAATCTGAAAAGGAAATTTTATTAGTCGTAAATAACATTTTTAGTACTATGGAAGACATGTAGAATAATCCAGCTCTTAACTCTAAAACGGCTAGAGCATTAAATGAGGGAACTTATCAGTCTACTGTTATTGTACCATTTATTTAAGCTGCACTAAAAAATCTTCACTTTAGATTGTCTTCATTTATTAGCACGTCAGAAAGAGAAAGTCTTGTTAGTGCAGATAGAAAAAGAGACGGTCAAACAGAAAGATGTCCTGATATCATGTTTATGGTGAAACATTTGGATATGCTCTTCAAAATTATGTATGTCGAATGCTCGAGATTGGTTTGTACACCTTAAAAAAAGTTGAATGATGATATTAAGTTATGGAGAGAATGTAATGATGGTATGTATTATACACGAAAATTTCTTAATCCAGAAAAAAGCCAATTTGGAATCGTTGGAATACAAATAGCAGGAGATACTTTACATCTGAATGTTCTTATCAGGGATACAACGAATATTCATAAATATTATAATATAGAAATGGTAAAAATCCCTGTGCAAAAGTCAGATAAGACCATCGTAATTAAATTTGTAGAAAATCTTCTCTTTTTACGTAACATATTAATTACAAATTTGTCTTTACTATATCATGGATCAGTGTGTATATCTGAAAGGCAAAAGGAAGGCAGTACGACTATAGATTCTGAATAATATTCTTTCTTGTATTTTATTCTTATCAATAAAAAATTAAAACCTGATGTATAAATGATGCATTTTTGGAATTTATTGCTATTGATGTTACGTATATATAATCATAAATTTCGAAGTGTTGTATAAAAACTAATTTGCATTATAGTGCTATTTTTTTTCTTTATTACTATAGAGACTAATCAGAAAAACCAAGTTTTTAGAAAACTGGTAAATAATTGAAAGCCCGTTAATGCACTCAGAAAACAAACTAAACACAAAAAATAATTGAAAGTTTTCTCTGTGCAGTGTTCATATATTTGTAAATTTTTTGTTATTTTATTTTAAATTTAATAAAACATTATTTAGGTTTTGAACTTTCTATTTTCTATAGTATACAATTAATATAAACATCATAACTTACGATAGTGTAAAAAACAAATCGATCTTCATTTTTTTGTCCAATATAACCAAGTTTTTGTTGGTACAAGCAAATCCTCCTTCTCTATTACCCCTTCTATTACTACACTGCATGTTAGATAAGCCGTGCTAGTCTTTCTTTCTAGCAAAATACTTTGCTTAACAAAATTATGACAAACCAGATCTGCTAATGCTAATTCCGCTAATGTTTTAGTACATAATATTGTCGGTTTTTTTTGATTGACCAAGTCTAATAAGTTTAATTTTCTACTTCGAAGTCATGCATTATTTAAGCAACAAAAAACTTCGACTATATCTAAAGGAATAATTGCTTTATTATTGTTTTCGCATAATACCTTAACAACATTTAGTAGGTCTAAAATATCCGTTAGCGCATTATCTTGTTTTACATTATCTTTTGTGCATCTAATACAATTATCATATGAATTGCAAGTTGGTGGAACCAGGTCACTTGGCCATGCGTGGTATTGTGATACTAACTGGAATCGGCATTCATAGGAGGTAGACAGTAGTACATTACCTCAAATAACTTATGTCATGCTTTGGCTAGATAAAGTTCTCTAGTTGCTGTTTGTTCATCATAATCTTCATTACTACAATTAGAGCATGTTTAATAAATAAAATTATTCAAAAAGTTATTCAAAAAATTCTCAATGCAGCGATATAACAAATTACCTCTCTCTATTATTCGCAATAATGGAATAATTAGTACGAATATCCTTGCCAGAATAAAGAATTACGCATCTGGAATTTCGCTTATCCTGTCCAGCCTGACCCGATTCCTGAATTAGATAACTATTTATGAAGATATTGAGTATTATTGTTTTTAATAAAATTTTACTTATCAAATATACTTACTCATATCCATTGGAAAATTATAATGCAATACTAGATGAACATCAGGCATATCTATACCCATTCCAAAGGCTGACGTTGCGATCATCAAACATGTTTGACCTGTAGTCCATCTTTTTATCACATCATTCTTTTCACTATCTAGCAATTGACCGTTATATACATCTATTATTTTTTCTATCTTTTGATCTAACACCTCAAATACTTCAAGACAGTCCTTGACGCGAGCACAATAGATTATAGTACGACCAGTTTCTTCTACACTATCAATCAAACTCACTATTTGGTCTACCCAAACAGCCTTATTGTCTTTTCGACTTTGAACTGAGAAACATAGCTTTGGACGCGATAAATCATTTTCCCTTACAACTCTAAAGTTGTCTTCATCAATATTTAAATCATTCTGAAGAGCTATTGCATCTTCATAAGATAAAGTTGCAGTAAGAGCCATGATCCAAATATTAGGAAAATATCGTTTCAACCTTTCTAAATTTCCTCATTCATTTCTATCGAAAAAATTTTTAACAGACAATTTGTTAATAATTTTAACCGTTTATTCATATTTATCTTTTTCTTACCTAAAGTAACAAAAATCAAAAACACAATGGGCTTCATCAATTACAAATTGCAGTTTTTTGTCATTATGTAGGCGACTACATAATTTCATGAGTAACTGTTTAAGTAATAGCTTCTCAGGAGTGACATAAAGTAAACGGATGAATCCAAGAGCTATTTCTTCAAAAATCTTCGTTTCGTACTCGATTGTCCCTTGAGAAGATGCTAGCAAGTAACCACATGGAATTCCTAGTTTGATTAAATCGTTCTAAATGAAAATTTGATTAGATATACGATTGTTATTTATTGAATTTTTAATTAGATTTATATATATACCACTTGGCTTTGAACCAAAGATTTCAACGGTGAAATAACTATTATTAAGCCGTCAAAGAGAATAGCAGAAGCCGCATAGCAAAAAGATTTTCTGCCACTGGTTTTCATAATTATAAGCGTATCTTTTTCATCTTCCATATAATATTTTATTGCATCTACTTGTTCTGGTTTTGGAAATTTAAATTTAAAAATGTTTTCTGCAATTATTTTAACACATTGGACTAAACCTTGAGGTTGGTTTATCTCACTTTGTTGCATTTCATTTTCTATTTTATCTACTAATATTTCATTTTCTATTGCATCTTGTTGCATTTCATTTTCTATTTTATCATCTTGTAACATTTCAACATCTATTTCGTCACACAACATTTCATTATCTCTTTCGTCTTGTAATGTTCTGTTGCCCATTTCATTTTGTATTTCATTCGAAATTAAAAATCTCTTGTTCTAACCAAATAATTGATATATATAGCACAAAGTGCACATACCCTTAAAGCATTTTTTAAAAACGTGGCATCCAATACATCTTACAGTTACATCGAAGTCCACAATCAACGAAGCAAAGGATGGATAAAACTCATTATTGAGTAACCGTTCTCGCACTTTCTCTTTATATGGTACTAGTTCCTGTATATTAAACTAATATGATAAGCAATCATTAGATTTTTAGAACTATATAGTGTTAAGCTATTAAATACCTTGTCGAAATCGAATCCCGCCAATTCCTTACGTTCATTGGCATATTTATCAGACCTAGCTTGGTTACGCTCACGAATTTTTTCTACATTTAATTTTTGTTGGGCAGAATGGCTGCTTTCTATCATGCTAATATTATATATATCTTCTGATTCAAAAGGTTTTCCACAGTATATTTCTCGGATTTCAGAAAGTAAGCGAGTATACCCTTCGTTATAATGTAAAACTGCCAATGCATGCCTGGCAGCATATGACTTCCAGTAGTCAATTTTTTTATCTAGATATACTAATTTGACTCTATTGAATGCCTCATTTTGAGACGTTCTATTTAGTGTTACAATCCCCTGACCTTTAGGCAAGCGAAAATTCGACTCAAGAAAATTTTTGAATGCATCAATCCGGCTTTTAGATGAATGACAAAGAGTAGGCTCTTGCAAAATTATTGTTGAGTCGTCTTTGATCCAACATACGTCCGACCAACAGTGTGAATGATTATTTTGCAGGTGATTAATGAGACCATTTATCTGCATTGTACGTGTTTCATCTTCCGATAGTGCATTTTGATTTTTGGCTTTTCGCACTGCTGCAGAAAAAATGCATCCACAGTACCAACGCATTATATGATCTTCGAAGACTTGAAACTGCGTGTTTTTGTCACCTGATAACAATAATAATTTAGATATATTTATTATTGATACTTTCACAAAAAATGTTTTTTTCCTATACTTACGACGTAAAGCATTTCTAATATTTTTGGTTAGATGTTTTAGATCAGCAAAAATATTTTTTACAATAGGAACTTTCGCAAGCGTCTTATTCGTATCTAGGTCACCATCTACGCATACTTCTAAGTGCAAACCTGCATCTTCTAATGGTTGGCTAATTTGATTT